GCTGGACGTGGCCTTGGGCAACCTGGTCTAGTGGGAGGTGTCCCTGCCCATGGCAGGGGGGGTGTAACTTGATGATCTTCAAGGTCCTTTCCAACCTAAACCATTCTATGATTCTATGATCTTTCTGTTTGTGCCAGCAGCCCAGCTCTGTCCTGACTCCCATACAGCCTACCCTTCTTCTCCCAGTTCTCCAGTACCTAAAGGTTCCCCAAGGTTATGCTGTAGATCTGTGCCTTTGTAACGTGAGACAGGCAGTACTGCACAGACAGCTGCATGGAGCCTGGGACTTCAGGTTTCTGTCCTGCAGCCTGAATTTGGGTTCTCGACTCCTCCCCACACACCCATCCCTGCTACCAACCTGTGCATTCGTTCCTCTCCTGCCACTTACCCAGTGACTCATGCAGGGATGTCATGTATTGGCATCTCTCCCACTACCATGGCTGGCTTCTTCTGCTGCTTGACTCTACCACTGTTCCAGGATCATCCACCAAGCAAACCAACCCTGTTACCAGCTGGAGGGTGCATCTCAGCTCAGACCTCCAAGCCTGCCTTCCCACAGAATCACAGAATCACAGAATGGTCAGGGTTGGAAGGGACCTCTGGAGATCATCTAGTCCAACCCCCCTGCCAGAGCAGGGTCACCTACAACAGGTTGCACAGGACAGCGTCCAGGCAGGTTTTGAATGTCTCCAGAGTGGGAGACTCCACAACCTCTCTGGGCAGCCTGTTCCAGTGCTCCACTACCCTCAAAGTAAAGAAGTTCCTTCTCATGTTAAGATGGAACTTCCTATGTTCAAGTTTATGCCCATTACCCCTCGTCCTATCACTGGGCACCACTGAAAAAAGACTGCTCCCATCCCCCTGGCATCTTCCCGTTAAGTATTTGTAAGTATTAATAAGATCCCCCCTCAATCTTCTTTTCTCTAGACTAAAGAGACCCAAGTCCCTAAGCCTTTCTCCGTATGAGAGATGTTCCGATCCCCTAATCATCTTCGTTGCCCTTTGCTGGACCCTCTCCAGCAGTTCCCTGTCCTTCTTGAACTGGGGAGCCCAGAACTGGATGCAGTAAACTTCCCTGAAGTTTGTCTCCTCCCAAGTGGCACCACCACAGCAGGGAGTGCCCTGCAATGCCCCAGTGGGGCTCATCTTCCCATTTCTCTAAGTCTACTTCAGCTCTGCCATGCTCATCTCAAGAGGGCCCCCCACGCGCAGATCCTCCCACACTGCCTAGGGAATGGGGACAGGCAGTTTGTGCTTCAGATGCACTGGTCTCTGAAGGCTGATGCTGGGTCAGCTTTGCCTTTACGCTGAGGCAAACCAGGCCTCACTGACCATACACTACCAAAATAAAATAAGCAGGCTTTTAATAGTAAAAGGTTTCCTTTGGTGGTAGTGGTCCAGACTGTACACCCAGAAGTAATATGTGGGAAACTTCTTGGAAAACAATGGACACGTACTGAATGTCAACATGAAGGAGGAAATCATGCGCTGACACTGAAACTACTGCTACTCCCCAACAGATGCGGAATGTGTATTAATCAAAAGACTGACTTGGCAGAAATAGTAACAAAGTGTAGATAATAAGTTACAGCTGCTTTTAACCAATAGTAGTTTGTGTGTATAAGTCTAGAAACCAATGAGCACAAGCCGCAGAGCTAGCCCACGTTGTAGTAAAAAGTATATAATGGCTTAAGTATTTTAATAAAGTGGCTTCAGCATTGATCATATTGGTCTGCGACTGGGTCCGTCCGCAGTAATGTATATATAGCTAGGGGCAGAACTTTGCCAACTTATAATGATGTTGCTCACCTCTGGTTTTAAACCTCCTCTTGAGTGTATGAAACCCTTCAGGCACACAGGCTGTGTGCTCGCCAAGCGCCCATCCCTGCAGGGTGGGCAGCACTGCATCTCACAGCCTTGCAGTGAGACGAGCCCCTCCCAAAAGGGTCACCCCAAAAGGCACTCTGGAAAACTTTGCTTGGTTTGGAAAGCAACTCAGTTACTAAAATGTAGACAACTTTTAAAAGATAGCATTTTATTTGTGGCAGACAGGTTTCCTGAAATTATAGAAAACAGTACTTCTGCTTTAAAAAAAAATAATTGGCTTGGGTCTCCTTACAGCATCGGTCTGCAGAGAAACAGCAGACAACATCAGTCTGTGCAACACAGTTACACCAGCTTGTACCAGAGGAGAAACCTGTGTGGACAGCTTGTTATGTGAATGAGACAGAGAAAATCCTGCTGGGAGCCAACTGCCAGTTTCAGGCGGGGAATAATGAGGCAGAAACCGCTAGCTGGTCATGCGAGGTTACAGCATGCAAGCCTCCATCTCTCCACAGCAAGAGCCCTGAGCCTCAGCGGCCAGTGGGGGATCCCCAGTGGCACCCTCAGAACCACGAGCCCCAGCCCAACTCCTCCCAGTCCCAGGGGAGCTCAGCCCCACGGGCTGGGGGACATCCAGCCTCTCCTGAGCATCCCACAGCCACAGGGGTCATGGCCACGGGTACTGGAGACACTGCGGGATGCAGAGGAAGAGCATTTGGGAGTGCACAGGCTTATTACAGGATGCCCAGGGGAGGAACCAAATGTGGGGGAAAGCAGGGATTGACATGGTTTGGGGAGAGCAAATGTGGGGAAACAGAGGGGTAAGGGGATAAAAAGTGGCCCATTGTGTGTAGACAGCTGGTGGCCGGTGGCCAAGGACAGATGCTGGTCTGGCCATGCCTGTGCCTGACAAGCGCAGTCTGTCCTGGCTGCTCATCAAGCGCCGTTTCTAACTCTTCCTAGGGTGACATCTCTCCTTTCAGTGTGGGTGCTGGCATCAGTGGTGCGTGGGGATCTGCATCTGCATGGGGAGGTGAAGTGGTTTGGGAGCCCAGGCACTCTGCGTCTGCCTGTGTCTGTGTCTGTCTGCCCTGTTGCAGCCTCTGGGGGCTTATATGTCCTGGTGCCAGAAACCGGGGAGACTGGGATCCAGGGGCAGGTACTGGGCAGACAGTGTCTAAGCCTGGTTGCTGGAGTGACCCGCATTGCACATATGTCTGTCTGTGCGTGTATCTGACTGCTTTGATCTGTGTGCCCCTTCTGGGTCAGAATCAGCGCAAACAGAAACTGAGTGAGACCACACAAGTCATGTTTTCAGTCTCTTGAGTATTCTGGCACAAATGCAGAAGGTCCCTGACAAAGCAGCTTCAAAGCAAGTGATTCCCCAGTAAACAATGTTTCAGGCAGCACCCGAAGAGTGGTTTGTCCGGAGCACAGGCTGGGGAGGCGCAGCCAGGCACACCCTTGGTCCTGCCAGGAGTGCATTTCATGTAAGGAACCGCTTGCTCGTAAATTACCCCAGCAGCTATCTCAGTGGGCAAAGAGGAAGACATTAACAGCTGTTTTCCCAGCTATTTTTTATTTAGTGAGGTGTCATGTAAGTTGCAAAATCCTTCATGAAAAAGGAGTACAGTCCAATGGGGGTCCCCGTCCCTGAGCTGTGAGAGCTTCCCAGCAGCACCTCTGGAGAAAAGACAGGCAGAGAGACCACTGAAGAAACCTCCCTCCCTGGTCAAAGAATGGTGCAGAAGAAGCTCCCATGGTTGTGGCAGGGGCCATCCACCCTGGTGGTTATGCTGGAAACCCTCTGACCACCAGCCGCCGTGCAGGACACTGGGGCACCTCCTTCAAGGTGAGGTCGTGCTGGGGGGTTGACCAGCATGCACTCCATATCAAACCTGGGAAAAGCAGAGACACCCCATGCATGGCCATGAGCAGGGTGAAAAGGCAGTTCCAGAGCAGCCTTAGAAATGCTCCCTTGAGGTTCACCCTTCCAAGGAGGAAAGGGGCAGAGCAGTGCTGGCAGGTGCACAATGCTCACCACGTGACATCTGTTCGAAAACCCAAGTGGGACAGAAATGGTTGGAGAATTGAGACAGACCATCTTGCTTTACTGCAAAAAATTACCTTCTGTAATTTCACAGCCAAATACCTCTAAGTGACTGCTAAGTGGGTCTGGCCTTTCCTCCTTCCTCCAACTCTCACAGCCCAGGCTACAAACATCCCAGGGCTGCCCATACTGCAGGGACAGCAGTGCAGTATGCAAACCCAACAGCCAGGCTTCAAAGGCAGCACTGCGCCCGAAATTGAGCTGGCTAGGTCAGAGGGCAGATACCTCTGTGCTCAGAGACATTGTGAAGACCCACACTGGTCTGTCAAGGAATAATCCAAGCCCCTCAGTTGGCTTTAGAGATATCCCATAAGGAACATTTTGGCTCCCCTTGATCTGCAGTCCTCACCTGCAGTGGTTCAACATGCACATGAGGCTGGTGCCATGGGTGAGCAGGGATGGGAAGCTGGGTAGAGGAGCTACAAAGCAGAGCCCTCCAGTGCTCACCTAACACAGAAGTGCAACGGTGGCTCCAAGCTCAAAACTGCACCTCATGCTGCTAGCAGCCTCACCTTTTCTTGAAGGTGAGAAGCATGTTGTTTTGGATGATGCAATCCTCTTTATTTGATACTGGTCGCAAAATGGATTTCTTGGATCTCCCTTGGAAAATAAGGTTTTCCTGCACCAGGCCTTTGGCTTCATCAAAGAGAGCAATCCCATAGTCCCGAAAGGACTGGATCCTGTTCTTGGTCACCTGCAAAATATGCTTTAGATGGGATGCACAAGCAGAAGGACATTGTTCATATGGCTCTTTGATCAACACAACAGCAAACCATAAGCTCTTCTACAGGTTCACTAGCACTCCCTGTCAGTCTGGGTGCATACCAAGGGTTCAGACTGGACGTGCCATAGCCATGCACACACAAGCTTTTCCAAGGCCTTCCACTTGTTACTGGTGGCCCCAGCTGGCAGCTCAGTTGCTACCAGTACCAGATGCTACAAGCTTGCCTGCAGCTGGTACCCAACCCCCTGGTGAAACACGAGCACAGACACTGCTGAACACAAAGCTGCTGTTGTTCCTTGCCCTCCAGATTTCAAACAGCTGTACTTACAGGCTGTCACTTCCTTGTATACGAAAGAAAGAGCACTTAGGAGTCTCCTCTTCCCAAGAAAAACAAGGCTACAGCTCTCACTGTGCCATCATCTGGAAGATCAGTTCGGTTCTTTCTCCTCCTTGGATCCACAGCAACAACCTCTGCAATGCTCCTTGCCCAGCGCTCCCCCCACCCAGCACCACACACCATCTCACCTGCTTGCAGGCACCTCCTGGGCTCTGCCAGTGGGTGGATGAGAAATGACAGAACCACGACATCACTAGTACGTCAACAATGACCTGTGCCCCTGGCTCTGCACCCCAAATGAACCCTGCAACATGACCTCTGCTTGTGTGCTCCAGGACAGTGGACAGCTGGGACCAAGGAAATTGCAATGGTTTTTACCTTCTGGTCCAGAGGACAACGGTTTTCTATGAGCATGATTTTCCAAAGGAGTCTGCAGCCCCTGCAGAACTTGTGCAAAGCATTTGTCTTGGCAGGGCTTTCTGTATACTCATTTTAAGTGTCCTTTACGATGAGTTAAATTGCATTTATCTATCATTGTGATGCACAATGGCTTCACCTCAACAAAGAACAGAACGGAGGCAACTTTGAGTCAGGTACTAACCTTGGGAACTGGCTAGATGCTGGAAGACTGCATCTGATTTCCAAAAAAACTAGTTCAGGTGCCAGCTACCCCAGTTCTTCAGCACAGCTCACACAGCCTGCAAATCTCCAACAGAAGCCTATGGGATCACCCACTTGACTGCCACTCAGTTAAATACAGGGGACAAGCCCGGGTTTGTTGAACATCATTGCACCAAAATGCACAGGATTCCCTTTGCTGCTCTGTGGGAAGAAAGGTCTCTCCTACAAGCCATCTATGAATTCATTTTTGGGGGGAATGATGACTGAGCTGTACTTTACCAAGGCTTAAACATCAGACAGATGTGACAAGCCACCTGCAGTTCACTGAAGAGGATACAGCCTTGAGATAGGACTTGAAAATTTACTCTTTTCTCTGCCACTGAGCAATGGCATGAGCTCACGTAAGCCCTTCCCTCATGTGCTTGCCCACCTGAAAAGCTGCTGCTGCTAACAGACCTCCTTTCACATTCCTGTCGCTGTGGGCACCAAGCAGTCTGGGGCAACATGGCCAGCTCTGCTGGTACACATGTGCTTTCCTGCTGCAAGTGAGCAATAATAAGCATGGACCCAACAATGCTGAGGCTAGGGAAGATTTCACCTCCTCCTCCTGGGCCCTACAGAGCACTTCTAAACCTCTCTTGAAAGATGTTAGGACATCACACACTTCAAAACCACTAGGGTTTTGAAATGTCACTTTCTTCTGAGCAGTGTACTCTAGTTTTGTACTGCTAGTGCAATTAAAACCAAATGCTTACTTAATTTGCACCTACATCTTCCCTCGAACAATTTCTGCCAGCTTTGCTCCAGCCTATTTCCAATGACTGCCCATGAAAAACCTGGAGTTAAGGAGTGCTGGTGGAAGGGAGCTCTGGATTAGGACTGTCTACAGCATTAGATCAGGGCAGTCCTGGCTTTGATCTGCCAAAGCTTGGAAGCCCACAAAGATGGTGGCCCCACACCAGTCTCTGACCTCCCCCAGGGCTGCACCACCCTCCAAGGCAAGAAGGTTCCCCCAGTCTCCCACATGTATCTCCCAAGGTTCAGGCACCACTGCAACTTGTGCTGTTGACCCTTGTTGTACTGCCTGGCACTGCTGAGAAGAGCTTGGCTCTCACTGCCCTTCAGGTAGCTGTGGGCTGCTGTTAGATCCCCCTTGGCTCCTCTTTGCCAGACTGAGCCCAGTTTCCTCTGCCTCATCTCATTAGTCACATATCCTGGCACTTGCCCATCCTGGTAGCCCTGAAATGGACTGTCTCCATTTTCTCCACCTTCCTCTAGACCTTGAGGATCCAAATTGGACACAACATTTCAGATGCAGCCTCCGAATGGCAAAGGAGATGGGTGGCAACCTTCCTCAATCGGCTGGACACGCTTCTAATGTAGCCTGGAAATTACACCCCCTTTAATCACAGGGTCAAGGATACGATCCTGAGTGTCCACTCCTCCTGCTAGCACTGCCAGGACAGTGCCTCCTGTCCCGCGGGCTAACCGAGGGCCTGGTGGCTTCCCCCTCACCCAGGAAGGCAGGGGAGCAGCAGCGGGCTCTCCCGTCTCTGCCACCAGCTGCAGGGATGCACAAGTCGGTGCCCCTCAACTCTCTGCAGGACGTACCTTCATGTCTGCTGCATGGAGCAGCTGAAGGCCACATCTGTGGTTGCCGATGATGTCATTCTCTGCAATGACACCCTCGCCCTTGGAGACGATGCCATGGCTGCTGTTCGCATAGATGCCGTAGCAGCGGGCTCTCCCGTCTCTGCCACCAGCTGCAGGGATGCACAAGTCGGTGCCCCTCAACTCTCTGCAGGACGTACCTTCATGTCTGCTGCATGGAGCAGCTGAAGGCCACATCTGTGGTTGCCGATGATGTCATTCTCTGCAATGACACCCTCGCCCTTGGAGACGATGCCATGGCTGCTGTTCGCATAGATGCCGTTGCCACGCAGCTCAACCTGGCAGTCGGCCTCCACCAGCACGCCTCCCCGGCTGTTGCAGGAAATGCTGTTGTTTGCAATGTATGTCAGCTGGCTGCTCTGCAACACTGCCACCCCGCCATCGCGGTTGGCGTGAATTACATTGGCAATGATGTTGAGCGCTTCGCTGCTCTTGACATGCAACCCAGCAGCTGCCAACCAAAAAGAAGAGTTATCAGTTAAGAGCTTGCAGCCTCAGTCATAACAACTACAAATGTATTCCTACTTCTAAAAGCTACCCAGTTTCTTCTGTCACAATATGACCTTCTGACTGGGAGCTTAAGGACAAAAATCCACCCACACTCGGGTCTCAGCCCACCATTTCTCCAAGGTGCTCCTGGCCTAATGGCAGCTGAGGAAGACCCTGGCTGATTCCAGTGCTGCTGGGCCAGGACAACACACCATTCTGCATGCCACCCCTTCTCCTGGAGGCTGGGAAGAGCCCCAGGCCCTGAGCTCACCTCCGTTGTGGTTGATGCTGTTCAACTCCACCAGTGCCACACTGATGGGATGCTGGGCAGCTGGGTACTCCTCCTCGCTGTCGGGGTCGTTCTCCCCACCGGCACCCTCCCTCTCCTCCTGGAAGCTCTCGCTGCCTCCCTGACCAGGGGGGTAGTCACCAGCGTCATCCTTGTGGCAGAACACCGCCACCCCGTAGATGCTGTTGTGGCTGATCTGGTTGTTGATGAGGTGCGGGAGGCTGGAGGACATCATCCACACACCACAGCCCTTGTTGCCTGCAGAGCGGGGTGGCATAGCCCACCAACTCAGCAGTGCTTGGAGACCCCCAGCTCTGCCCCAAAGTGGCTGGTAGTCCATGTGCAGTGCAGGTGGGATGGAGGATATCGTCCTCTTTGAGCACACATGAAGGCTAACCCCACATGCCAGGGGCTCACAGAGATGCTTTGGCCCTGCCTTGGTCCTGCTTGGCTGACTCCAGTCAGTGAGCTCAGTGCCTTTGTTTCCCCACCTCTGCCCTCTCGTGGCACTGCCTATGCTCTGACCCCCAGCTCAAGTCCCCTGGCTTAACTCACTGATCAGGAGGCAAACCCGTGATGCCCTGGGGCTCTGCGGCATGGACAGGCACAGCCCTGTCCACCATCTGCATGCACAGGTGGCTTTGCCACAGATGGGCAGCCAGTGCTGGAAGCCCATGTGCTGTGGTCTCTCCTCCTGCAGGACTGGGAGTCTCCAGGGCCAGGGAGAGACCAGCTATGGAAGCACCAAGCTGGGTTTCCCCTCAGGGGCCCAGGCGTTTTCTCCAGTGTCTCTCGCAGGCTGAGCTGCATCTTAGCCACCCTCAGGGTGTAGGGTTCCTACAGTCACCCTCCTCCTGCCCCGGCCACTGCTGCTCCAGAAACCTCTGGGAACTTCCTGCCTGTGTACCTTACTCTCACTGCAAGGGACTGACACTGGCTGCTAGCACTACTGGCTACCACTGCCTCAGGCATTACTAGTGGGACAGACGGACAGACAGATGCACACAAAGCCATGCTACACAACTGCCTGCATCCCATTCCTGTCCTAAACAGGGCCACAGAGGAGCACAGCCCCAGGACTCAGACCCGCACCCTGGCAGTGGTGTACTCTACAGCACTTGTCTCTCTGCAACCGCTTTAAAATCCCTCTAAAAAAAGCTATTTCCAGCTTCCTACAAAAATCCCCTGGGGGGTTTATCACCTGTCAGACATTAGCCCACTTGTTAGATTACAGGCCCTGCCAGACTCCTCCAGCGCCAGTTTAGCTGGGTGTAGGACAGCAGCAGACATAGCTCCCCTCATCCCGTGGGGACGGCGCATCCTCTCCTGCAACCCTGTCCTGCATGAGGACACTGGTGCAAGGCCAGCTTCCCTCTTGGGACTCAGAGGGAAGCTCCTGCCTTCTGCTAGAGACAAAGTGGTGGCCTCCACAAAGGGGAGAGGGCCCCTCATGAGCCACAGCCCAGCAGAGCTAGTGGCAAAACCTCTGGAGTGCTAGTGCTGGGCTGGGCCTGGTGCCACTCCTGGCGAAACCCCCTGGGCACCCACCGCAGATCCCTCCTGGGCACCCACCACCAGATCCTTGCTGGGCACCCACTGCAGCCCCCTCCTGGGCACCCACCACCAGATCCCTCCTGGGCATCCCCCACAGCCCCATTCTGGGCACCCACTGCAGATCCCTCTTTGGCACCCCCACAGCTCTGGAGTGCACTATAGGTAGAGGGCACCCTGGCAAACTCAAGACAATGGGGGTACAGTGTATAAGGTAAGAATTGTTCTCCATGCAAGCTTGCTTCCTTACCGTAAATGGTGTTTCCTTCAATGAGGCCCTTCCCATGCTCGCCCACCACCACGCCATCCGAGTAGCCACAGGAGATGAGGTTGTTCCTGAGGACAGGGTCGCCCCCATGGCGGATGTCCACCCCACCCCACTGGTTCTCATAGATGACGTTTCCTAGTGCCAGGCCGGGAAGATAAGGTGACCACACAGGCCTCCTGCCCACACAAGAGCAAGGAGACCTGGCAAGCCGAGACCTGGCCCCACCAAAAAGCTCCCATTGCCTGCAGCAGAACCCAAGCCTCAGGAGTTTTCTCGTTCACCTATTCCCCTGGCAATGCTCTCCCACATAGGACGCTGGTCATTAGCAGTTCCAGTAGCCACCACCTCCCTGTCATCCAAGGTGTAGAGCAGAGTGGAACACCACTTGGAGGTTCCGCAACAGTAGGAAAACATTATTGACAGCTTTAGCTTATACACTGGATGGCACAGGAGAGAAAAAAAGCAGTTCACGTGGCAGATTGCTCTGGAGCACTGCTCCACATCCCAGCTGTACCAGAGACAAAGGGAACAATAATTTGGAGGACACACTGTGGAAAGACATGCTCCCACCACCAACAGCAGAAATGCCAACAGAAAATGCAAACCAGGAGATTATTGCATCGAAAGTCACCCAAGAACCACAAGACAAATTTTGCAATCAAACAGACAGAGGCTTAAAGACAGAAACAAACTGAGCATAACAATGCCTTTTTCATTCCCATACCTGTGATTTGGCCTCTCCCATTCTCATTCACTGCTATTCCAGCAGCCAGTCCCTGGAAAATATGGTTCCCACTGAGGTAGGAGAAGAAAATAAAGTTACCAGCAGCAGTGTTGCCTGTTTATGGTTTGCATCGATGCTAGCACAGCAGGTCTCTGCAGAGGCATCAGTCTCCCTGGCTGCCCAGTCCCTGGAAAATATGGTTCCCACTGAGGTAGGAGAAGAAAATAAAGTTACCAGCAGCAGTGTTGCCTGTTTATGGTTTGCATCGATGCTAGCACAGCAGGTCTCTGCAGAGGCATCAGTCTCCCTGGCTGCCTACTTGTCACAGCCTGTAGCCCGTGCCCAGCAGCGAGAGCTGGGCACAGGGCAGCTGTCCAGCAAAGTGCAGCAGGAGGAAAGCACAGTGGGGAAGGTACACACAAAGCAAAGCGGAACTACTGGCAGCTGAACCACTTTTTCAAGGAGGTGAATAGCACAAAAGAAGCATGGAGAAACACACTTGAGGAAGAGCATTCAAAGAGTGGGAGGTGCCCATGAAACAGCCACCACATCAGACCGGTTGTCCCATCTCCAGGAGTGGCCAGCCACATCTGCAGCTGCAGGGAATGTACGGACAGGGAGAACCCCAGGGAGGAGGTGAGAGGCTTTATCAGACATGGCACTGCTGCTCCAAGAGGAGCCCTGAAGCCAGTGATCGTGATTGATGGCAGGAAACATTAAACATGGTGGCAGGGGCAGAGGCAACACTGTGCTGGGAACAATGGCCTGGAGAGCACATATGGGCCCTGATGCACTTGATTAGAGGCATCACTGGCTGTCCCCCGAGCTCGCACACAAGGACCCAGTCAGGAGGAATGAAGCACGGGAGCCCCAAGCCCACCAGCAGCTCCTCCTCCACATGACCCTGAATCTCTGGCTTGCTGCTGAGGTTCAGAGCAGGAGAGCAATCAGGTCGGTCATGAAGACAAAACACCAACCAAGCACAGTGCCTGGCATGGACTCCGCCTCTGCATCCATCCAGGAGTGCTCACCGGAGATGGCTCCACTCCCCCCAGGCTGTAAAAGGAGTGGAGGAGATCCTGCAGCAGTGAGCCAGGGTGGGAAAGCAGTGCCTGTGACACGCGATCACCAGCACTGGCTGCAGATGGAGGGGTGGGCACAGCACTTCATGCTGCTGTCCTGCTGCCAGGGACAAGTGCAGGCAGAGCAGGGTCACCCCAACTCATCCAGCAGCTACTGCCTCTGCTGTCCTCGGCTGCCCCAGCATGGCTGCCCCTCCACTCACAGCTGCCTGCTCGGGCATGGCCACTCAGTCTGGCAGCTGAGGGAAGCCCTCATCGCCCTGCCACAGCAGCACAGGCTATCAGCAGTGCCCAGAGAATGCAAAGCTGCTTGTGGGCTGCAGGACCTGGAGCAACACATATGCCTCCCTCTAGAAAGAGAGACCAGGTAAGAAGATGTGCCCGTACATGAAATCCACAATTGCACCAGCAGCTGCAAGGGTAAGGAGGAACAGAAGCCATGAAACCATCCCAGAAGCAATCCTCCAGGAACACAAGGTGAGGACTCTCAGCTGCCCAAGTCCCACTGCTGTGGGTCAGTGCCCTCCAGTGCTGCTCTCACCAGTTTAGGGGAGCAGGCAGTAGCGTTGCACAACTGGGCACCATCAAACTTGGCACCTTCCAGACTTAACCTTGGCACAGCAGGGATGCCATCTTACCCAAACAGCTTTTTAGCTGCTGCAGAGAGTACCTCTGACTGGGAGACATACATGCTCAAGGGCCTGTATCATGCGTAAAAATGATACTCTGCACCCATGTTGCTGGCACACTTCTGAGAAGGGCACTTCCCTGCTTTGTGCATGGGGTCCCTTGCAACGCCCCACTGAAATCTGTCCCTCAGCCAGGCAGCAACACAGGATGGAGCTGGGCTCACAGCTCTTGGGAACGGGCAAAACATTATTCTGTTTCCAGCTGTAAAAGGCACCCAGCAAACGACATTATTCCTACCATAAACATCCCCCTTCTGCCAGCCCTGCCTCCCTGCAGCTGCACATGCCACCCTGCCAGTGAGACTCAGCCATGCCGACAGCCCCTGTTGAACCCCACGCTGTTGAACACAGCTGCATGTGGCACCACTGGGCCCGCGCCAGTGCACACAGCCTTGGCCAGCGCCGGAGCCTGCCTCAAGCCAGCACAGACAAAAGGCAGCACAGAGCACCAAGCACGAGTGGAGCAGGGTTTCTCTTCCACAATGGGTGGCTGGTCAGGAGAACAAAGGTGTCTTCCCACTGAGCTTCCTCCCCGCCTCCTCCCCATCATATCCTACGTGCCAGCAAGCACGGACAGTCATACGTTAGTCCTGAGGTGCAAGCTGGGGTTGCAAACGATATTGCGAGAAAGTACAGAGGGAAAGGCACCTAGTGAATCTCTCCATCCTGCATTGTGTTTCCTCTGCACTGGTGGGCCCTGCTACTCCAATACCACTTTTCTCAAAAAACAGTCTCTCTCTGAGACAGCAGTCTCATAATCCCCTGTTGGAAAGCCTGGCCCTGACCTCTGTGTTTTCAGGGCTGGTACATCTGGTGCAGACTTCTCCTCTCCAGGTCCCAAGCTAGACCAAGTGCCTCAGTAGAGATGCCTGCAAGAAGTGGCTTTCATTAGGTCTGTAGGACTCAAGGCTGAAGCACTGTTAATTATCAACACTTCCAGCACGAATACTCACATCTTTGCTACAGGGCTGATCCAGGGCAACCATTTTCTTCCCTTCGTGCGCCACCCTGGTCTATAGCACTGTGGTGAGTTGCCACATGCCTGTTCCTTATCACGTACAGGCACAGCGAGAGGTGGAAAGGGGTAGCAGTACAGATGAGATGCCCTTCATATCTGCAACCAATACCGTGCTCCAGCTGCCATCTCATTTCTTTGCTACCAGTTGATACCACCATGTAAAGCTGATGGCATCGACCTGAAGAAAGCCTGCCAGACACCAATATTAATATCTAAACTGAATGGTATTAAACACACACAAGTCCAGGTGTTTAAAGCAGAAAGGTGAATTGGAGTAACAATGATTGGAGTGCCGAGGTCCATTTCCCCTTTTCCTGCAAAAAGCACCATGACACATGTGAGTTGTTCATCTTGAACACAGCCTGTGTCATCTTCAGATCGAGGGGGAAAACCCAGGACTGGCAATTGGCAAAGACCTGGGTGCAGCAAGGAGATAGAGGGAAGTCACAGAAAGGCACTAGTCTACCATGGTCCTATTTCTGCTCTATGGTGATAACAGAAAGAAAGAGAAGAAAAGTGTGCACAGTGGGAGGAATAATTCTTAACAGGAGAGAGAGGTCAGTGCTAGCTAACATACCTCACAGCAGGGTTTCCATTATACAGAATATAAATGCCAGCTTCTTTATTCCCATAGATCTGATTGCTACGGATGATGCCTTTTCCGTTGCCAACGACGACAATGCCTGAGCGAAGGCCACTGTGTATCTTATTGCACTACGATTTTATTTTTGCACATGTAGAGAGAATAAAAGCAAAAGGAAGGAAGGTCACTCATAAAAGTGAGCAAGAGGAGACAGCAACCACAGAGAAAAGCAACAGCTCCCGACCCTGCTGGGGAAAAGGGCAGAAGGGTAATTAATCCATCTGCCAAGAAATCACTCTCAAATGGTCGAGGCACACTTAACTTTTACCTTTCTTTAGGGTTCTAGTCCACAATGCCCAATTTCCCTTCCCATCATGCCAGCAGCTTCTTCTTCCTCCAGCAGTTCCTGCTGCCACCTCCAAGGCCTACCCTGGACTAGGTGATGCTCTGTTCCCCACAGGCCACCTGACACTGGGCAGGGCTGGTGGGGCTGCAAGTCCAACACTTCCCGAAGGCCACCAAGAGTAAAAGACCCTCAGTGGCACCCCACAGGAGCTGAAGGCAGTAGTCCAAGCTGGGGGTTCGGCGTTAAAGTGTGGTGCCTTTTCTCAAGCTGCTAGACAGCACTTTGCACAGTCTGAACGACCACTGTCAACAGTCACACAGCTGTTTCTCTTTACAGGGGCCAACATCTCCTGTGAAGACAGGAGTGCGCTGGGACCCTCTGAGTAGGACAGCAGTCCCAGCCCAGTATCTCATGGAGTGGCAGGGTAGTAATCGCCAATACCAGTTAAAGCAACAAACAGCAGCTTAAAGCTGCAACCAAGGCCAGACACAGCCCACGACTCCACAGTTGAGCTGCCACCTCTTCCTCCATGGGGCTTCCTCCATGCAGCTCTGCCCGCCTCATCTCCTGTGCAGGGCTCACATGGAGAGCTTGATGCAGCCACAGGGCCACTTGGGTGGCAGTTTGTATCCACCTCTCTGCCTCTCCCTGCATGCTGAGGCCTCAGTTCCTTCAAGGACATCTACAGATACAGCGTTCAGTAAACAGGGACAAGGTCACCCACTGCACAGCTGGAGACACAACCGATTCGGAGGAAAAGCCATGCTGCTGGAGAGTGGGCTGCCGCTCCCCTCCTGCCTGAGGCTGAGCAGAGAGCTGAGACCCTCCACCAACTCCCAGGGTAGGCAACACGAACCCCAGTATGGGAGAAACAATTTACAGTACAGTGCTGGTTTACTACCTTGCTTGCCCAAGTTCGCTCATTACACAGGGGTGTTTATTTGATAGACGAACAGCCCCTGACCTGACCCTCAATATACAGCAATTTTAAGACGCATACTATCAAATAGAGCAGGAGACCATGCATGTACCATCAGGCAGCACTTTGCTGTGCCTTGCCCTTGGGGTTAGCTAAAACCTAAGAAACAGGCTGAAGGGCAAAGCCAGTCAGTGTTTTCTGTACTGGGAGACGGATCCCTGCTGCCCCTTGGAAAGAAACAGCATGTGAGAGAAAGAGCACGCTGCCCTCCTGCATGACTTAGAGGGGTACATACCAGAACAAGGGGGTTTGCTCCCTTACGAATGTCCACTCCAGCCTCGCAGTTCGAATGGATGTTGTTGTCTGCAATCAGGCCTCCTGCTGACAGGCGCAGGAATATTCCGGATGCTTTGCAATGGTGGATGTCATTCCTCAGCATGATAACCTGCAGGCAAGAGGAGAAGCACCTGTAGCTGTAGTTAGAAGGACAAGGAAGAGGACATGACCAAAGGGTACAGCTCTCCCTTCTGCAGCCTCTGTGTATCTACGACCTCTCTGCCTCTCCCGCAACCCAGGGTGTGCCAGGCACACAGGCTGTCTGAAAGGAAGATCAGTGCACACAGAAAAGTGCTATAGGTAACCCTGTTGGACACTACCCACTTGCATGGGTCTGCCTGGGGATGGGGACCTGCAGTGCTTGCTGCCATGCAGCCAGACCAAAGGTATCCTCTTGGCCCGACAAATCCCTCCGCTTGACAAAGCCCATGTTCAGGTGTGCCCAGTGGCTTCGTTCACTGCATTGCGCTTGCACATTGTCAGCAACACCAAGTGGACCATTCCCGGTCCCATCTCCACACCGGTCGTGGTACAACAGACCTTCCCCATCCCTGCTGGGGCAGTTCCCATTTGCATCGGCATCCTCTCCAAACACAGCCGGCAACAGGCTGCCTCCTGACTCTCTGATGCACAGAGCTGCTCAGAGGTGACATGTCAAATGCCTCCCATGAGTCTCCCATGACGCTGACTGAGCCAGTGCGCAACAGCACACATGCTCAGCACGCAACCTGCCCATCACCTTGCGCCTTCAGAACAAAGATCCTGCCATTTGGGGGCAGAAATGGCCTGGCCATCAAACTGAAGGCACTGATACCACTCATAACAACCTAGTTTCCTCTAAGCAAGTAGCTAAATATTTATGCAGCTGCAATCTTAAATATTTTCCAGCCAAACAAAATCATGCCTTAAATCCACGTCTTACAAGTGCTAAGAAATAATCTACAAATTGCCTTTGCATATCCCACTTCAATGAGCAACACAGATCAGAAGGTAATTAAATTGTACTTCTTTTTATTTGCTCGTTCCACAAAGGTGCTTCATTCAATCTCCCAACTACAAGTGGAGCTCAGCAGGGATCGCCAGCTGCCTGTCTTCATCAGTCATGCTAGGCTGCCAGGGGAGGGAAGCTACAGGGGGCAAGAAACACAGGTGCCTGCTCCAGCTGGGTCCCACACACCAGACCCTGGCCCAGGCTTGCCCTGCACCAGAGGGTCCTGGCTGTGCAACGACACTGAGCCCTTGCCAGCTCTGCCACAGTCCCGCTCCGTGTTGCACCCACCTTGCCCTCATCTCATGGCCAAGCATTTCACTGTCTCCCATTGCCTGGTGTTCTGACACCCACCTCTTGACAATAGCCTCTGGGCTGATTCCTAGCCGAGCAGCTCAGAGGGGCTGAGCAGCACAGCAGAGCCGCTCAAGGTGCCTCTGCTCCCTCCTGCCCCCACTCTGCGTCCACGGGGTGGCCTTCAGGAGAGCACCTCTGGTACAGGTATCCCTTGGAAAGAAAGGAGTCATCCTCCACTGCCAAGAAGAAAAGCATTTCTGCAGGGCACATGCAACAGTGCTCTGCAGTCCTTCTGTGGGGACTGCAGATGGGGAGCTAACACCATCACAGCAAAGCCCTTTCCCAGAACCAGGTGGAAAAACATTCCCCTTCTTCCCCCTGCACAAAAATTTTATTTGCAGTCTTTTAAAGTGATAGACTGAAAAATGGGCCTAAATCCTGGGCTGCCGTGACCAAGTGGTGGGGATGGTGTTGCTCTGGGCAGGTGGTTGGAGAGGAGCCTCCTGAGCACCCCCAACACTGCCAGGACTGGGGATTTTGGCAGTGTGATTCTCCCCCCAGTCCTCGATGCCATGGTCCTGTCAAGGAAGAGGAGCACAGGCACAGAGGTGGAGAGCTCCAGGCAAGTGCAGGGTTAGATGATGCTGTGCTGAGGGAAACATCAGTTCAGCCTCTAACACGTCCCCTGCCAACTTCCCTCCTTACACCCCATTTCTGGCTGTGGCAGGCACCCACCCCTGTGGGCTCTCATGAAGCAGCCAAGACTGGCCATGGCAAGGGGCAAGACCAGGGATGGACACCACAGTCCCCAGGTCCCTGCATTTGTAGTATGGGCTGTGCTGGGAGCAGCAAAGGTGATGATAACCAGCAGCACTTTTACAGGGTGAGAGTTTAATTTACAGGTAGAGCGGGCCTGACTACATGACCCCAACATGCCACTGAGTTAATGCCTGCAATTGCAACTACGTTACTGCATGCAGAAAGCAGGTGGCTGCAAGTGGCTGCCTTTTGTTTGGGCTGGTTAACCCAAGCCATGCATAGAAAAGGAGCTGGTGGAGCAGGAGGGAAAGGGAAGAGGGCTTGCAGCAGTCTTCACAGCACCTTACTGTTTTGTATGCAGCGCACTGCATAGGTCAGATCCCTGAAGATGCTTCCTTCCAGTTTTGCTTGCCCTCGTGAATAAATGAATATTCCTCCCTTCCCATCCCTGAAAAGGCACTGTCGGATGATGCAGCCTTGCAGAGAGTTGGCCAAAGACTGGGCCTCCTTGTCCTGCTGCAGCTCATGCTGCAGAGACTTGAGCTTAAGGTCCTTCTGAAGGGCGTGCAGTCTGTTGCTTTGAAGCCTGCTGTCTGTAATGTCAGCAAACGTGTGACTCAGGCTGTGGGCTTGATAGGGCAGTTTGTACACAGCCTGAGCATCCTCCTCATCATCGCTGTGTAAGTCACTGTCACTGGAGTCTGAGTCAAGGTCTGGGTACTCCTCCTCCTCCTCCTTTGCTGCTCGCAGGTTCTCTCCAAACTCAGTGTCCTCCTGGGCTGAGCCAACCATGGCTTGAGCACCCGCAGCAGAGATGAAGCTGCTTCGTTCTTCCCCTACGACAATCTCGCACGTTTTCACTGGCCCCAGCAGTGATTCCCCCCAGCCATCCCTATTGGCCACGGGGCAGCCAGCTTGGTCGGGCTCCCACATGGACACGGCACAGCACTTGGCCAGCGCAGCCAGGTGCTTGCAGGCCCAGTTACGGTCAGAGCTCGGGCAGCCCTCCACAGTTACAGAGGCATTCTCACTGCCAGTGAACTCACAGTTCTGCAGGATGCAGAGGGCCATGCTGCGGAGGTGGATGCTGGACTGGCTGAAGGTGCAGAACTTCACCTGACATGTCCCCGGTGCTTGGATCTGCAGCTGCCCATTTTCGAAGTTGCAATTGTCAAACTGGACGTAGCCTGAGGTTGTCTGCAGAGTAAGCACAAGGTAAGACCATTGCACAAAGCAAGAAAAAGCAGCCCTGGACGCACCATGAAGTCCTTCCAGAGCAAACAAGCTCATGCACACAAACACAATATGCATTCACGTGTCACCAATGCAACAAGCTCACACAGGCACAGATGCAGTGCTGCAGGCTGACTTAGCAAGTATCTTACACCTACTGGCTTTCTTCCCTGCCAGCAATGTTTTCTTAACTTAGAATCATAGAATCACAGAATGGTTTGGGTTGGAAGGGAACTTAAAGATCATCTAGTTCCAACCCCCCTGCCATAGGCAGG